ACAGTCGCCAATTTCACAAACCCATCTCGCGTCTCCACGTCCTCCACCGCCATCGTCATCATTACTTCATGTGCCTGTCGTCTTCTCGTTTGCTGCTTCTCTCTGTCCTCCTCCCCCTTGCTCCTCTCCCCGCATCGCTTTCCCCTCCTTTCCCTCTCCGGTCCCATCCCTATCTCTCCGCTTCCCTTCCCCACCCCCTCGCCTTTCACTGACCACACTCCTTTCACTCTACCTCCACCTCCATCTCAACCACCGCCCCTCACCATCTTTCCCCTCCCCGTCAACACTGTCCTCCCCCTTCTCACCATCAGGCTTTCGCGCAACCGCTGCTTCCCTCCACGCCACCCTCATTCTACATCTCTTATCCTCCGCGCCCAGCCACACTCCACCCACCAGGGTAAGACGACCTGGCCATTTTCCTCCGCATCCATCATCATTGACGATCACTACAGCCCCCTCAACCGCACCTCCAACCTCGCCCTTCATTTCTACCATAACCTCCATTTCGTTTCCACTACTCCTCCACGGGCTCGTACCCTTGCCTCAACGCACCACTCGTTCCTCAGCGCACTCAGATGGCCCCATCCCCTTCCTCTCCCGCCCACCCCCCCACCTCCACCCCCGCCCCGCCACAGCACTTCGCTTTCCAGGGCGCTTCCGCTGCCGCGCGGACCCAGTAACCGTTCTCTTCGTCGTCGTCGTCGTCGTCTCGCTGCAGTGCCGTCACCCGCCGGCAGGGGCGCTGCCATCGCAGTAACTACTTCCGAGAAAAGACGGCGGGTAGCCTTTTCCCCGCGTAGTGATCGTTTGGAATGGTATTGCTCAGCGAAGTGGATGCTCGAGGGTGGTTTGCAGTAGCAGTGAGTTTGGGGAGAATGATGAATATTACACCTTTTCTCCATTAGAATGTATTATTGTCCAATTCAAATTGCTGCGAAAATTTCTGTAGTGAGTAAGAAAAGGGGATAATGTTACCTAATCGGGAGTTTTAATTTTGGAAATTGACGTCCCATATTGAATGACAGTGTCCCCTCTCTTATTCGGAAAATACAAATGATGTTTGCTGTATTGCATTGTTTGATGCGTTTTCTCCACATTATTTGAAACGTATACTTTGATATAAGTTACATATTTTATTATTTTTATGTTGCTAATGTCTCTTAGGAGCTAGTGTATGCAAAATCTGGAGATTTCAGCTCGTTAACTCCACAATACGTTTACTGTGGCTTTCCAATCTCTTAGTTTTTAAAATACTTTGTAAATCAAAGTTCTTCTTTATTAAAATATTTTTGAATATCTCTTCAGTTGCAGGGAAATAGACATTAAACATTCCGAGCTCTTACTAATTATATTCATGTGTAATAATCATGCACTAATAGGAGGAGGATTCCGATTTTATAGGTCGGTTGACACAGAAAATGTTAGGTGATTTTTCAACCTCAGTTCACAAGCAGTTGAATTTCTTTTAAAAGCAGCTGTAGCTACGAGAATGACAACAATAAAAACACTGAAACTTATCGCAAATCACGAATTGTGAAATGATCTGGAATTCACTCTCACTATACGCGGAACTAGTAAAATGGGGAAAACTAAAAAAGGAATGGAGAGAAAACACATTCGCACATTCTAGACAAGCAAATTTTGACAAAAACACACGACAGCAAATAGAAAAAGACTTTCTTACAATTAATTCATTCCGCTTACAACAGAAATTGTAGTTGCACGTTTTCAAAGTACAAACGTAATATCAAATAATTGTTTTCTTTACAGCAATATTTGCTTAAATAAGCAGATTTCTCTGAATTTATAAATTGTCACTTATATCATTCTGATTTTCACCCATTCAAATATCCTAAATAGTAGAGTAGATACATTTGAGTCATTTAGCTTTCTCTACTATTTCCGAAACATGAAATACATATTATATACTCTTGTGCATATCTATAAGTCTAGTATATTCAAGATATGTACAATTAATTTTTTATTTTACAATTTTATCTTTTTTTTAAAATACTTATTATTCGTAATGTCAAAAGGTAACTTCATAAGACAGTGAAATGACATCTGCAATTTGGTAAACCAGCAATCTGTGTATGTGCGTGTGTGTGTGTGTGTGTGGGGGGGGGCTCTCTGCATGAAAGACTAGGAAGACTGAATATCTCAAAGTAAAGTGTAAGGATCACTGTTGCGTTGGCAGGAGAGTGCCTCGCCTATTAAAAGCCTATACCACAGAGTTGTAACACTAGTGCGTCATCTGTCTTACAATAAGGCCCAGGCGCGTGCTCTTGAACTTTGAAATTATTTAATTCCTCGATATCGGGCAGAATATATTAATTATTAAATCAGTATATAAAGGAAATAGTTCTAAATTGTGACCGAAGTTTGTTTAACCATGCGCCGCCATTTCGCTGCTGTTTCTTCGACTTCTGTTTAAACTGAACATTATTGACATTAAGAATTGAAGAATGATTGCAGTGATAATAGATAATCTGTTCACCTTATGATGAACAAGTATTTCGCACATCATCAGTAATTCGCGTATTTTTTAACAAATTTGCAGTCATGGTCGCTAATGACCAAGAAGTTGCCAAGTTACCTACAATAAATGTAATTTTTTGAAAACTTCGCAGTCAGCAGAAGGCTGAACCATGAGCACTATGGATCTGTGAATCTGATTTCTGAACGCCCTGTTAGGACGGCTATACTCCGTAAACTCTACTCGGACGTACGATATGCAGTTGTTCATGCGCTCTTGAGTTTTTCCATCAAGGCCACCTATTCAACTGATTTTATCCAGACTTATTGGAAGCGTTTCTCTTTAAATTTCTTCTTCTTCAACGAATGGATGCAGTGTACGTCTATTGACCTTTCCAGATGGCTGATATTTAATGTAGCTCTCTAGTGTCTTCGTTATCCCAGTTAAAGAAAGTCAGACCTCTCCATCTATCTTGAGGCACCAATAACAAGACTAATTTTGGTTTAACTCTCTCCGACCGTAAGTTGACGCCCATTTGAACAATTCCGCGAGTTTCTTTTGTCAGTCAACAAAATGAGAGTCGATCAACTGCGAGGAAGTGACGCAATAGGATGGAAAACTGTAATGGGAGAAGACGAGGAAAATGTGCAAGATCACCAGCGAGCGCGGCGGGGGCGGCGGAAGGCGGGAAGAGGCAAAAAAAGAGGGAGGGAGAGCGCAGCGTTTGATGTATTTTGTAGAAGAGCGACCCGGGCGGAGGGCTAGTCTTCGGTCCCTCGGGGCCGGCGCGGCTAATGACCCGTGGCTACGTGATTCCGGAGGCGACGCCCCTGCACCCCGTCGCCCGTCCTCCGCGCCCCGTCCTCGAGCCTCCGCCCTCCCTCCCACTTCCAGCCTCCCACGCATTCCCATCCCGATACCCGCTGCCCAACACCTCTCGAGATGCAGCGTCCATCGTTGCCCGAGCTCCTTCCTTCGTCCTCTTTCCTTTGTCTTTCTCGTTGTGCTTTACCCCTCCTTTTCCCCCGTACTCTTTCGCCCGTCCTCCTTTCCCCGTACTCTTTCCTCTACCTTCTTACCCCCGTTAAGTGTTATTCGCCCTCTTTCCTCTGTCTTCCCTCCCCTATCTTCTTTTCCCCTTCTTTTTTTCTCCGTCCTCTTTTCCCGTCATATTTTCTCCACCATCTTTTCTCTGTCCTCCTTCCCCGTCTTCTGAATCCCGTCCTGCATCCTTTGTCACCTATCACCCGTCCCACGCCTTTCTCCTGGCGCCTCCGCTCTTCTCCCTCTCCACACTTCACGGCACACAGTCCTCTGCACATTTCCTTCGTTTCCGTCTCCTGTACATTTTCGCCTATTCCTCGTCTGCAGACCCACCCCTTCTCCTATGACCCGTGCAATGTGCCACATTCCCTGCACCGATTCCCGGTGATTCCACCGAGTGGATTATACCTTCAGTACCGATTCTAGCACATTGCTGGCGCCTGGTTCGCGTACGTGGACTGATAGCTTTCCCAAGCCACCCGAAGTGGTACACCCATGCATT